TTGTAATAGGCAATTCATATAATTATTTGAAGTTGGGAATGATACATATACAAGCTATTTTGCTAACATAATCCAAGTCTGCTCCTTCATTTTTTGTTGTATTTATTTGAAGTTGGGAATTATACATACAAATCAAAAGTTCCCAATTTGTTCCTACATTTTCATGATTTTACAATTTCAAATTAATGACTAATTCATATAATTATTTGAAGTTGGGAAATATGAAAAGCTAGTTGTCCTGCTAAAATAATATATTTCATTCCAATGATAAGAAAAAGGGAACTAAAATTGAAACCAAATTTCAACGAGAAACTGGATATTAATACATACTTAAACAAAAGGAACACTCCACGACGACGACGTGGAACAGTTTTTTTGCTCTTTGCAGATGTCATACTATTTGCCTCGGGGTAAAATTCATCTTCATCTTCATCTGCCTCTTCAGGTGGCTCATAATTAGAATCATTGTCAGAGGCCATTTTAGAACTCTGACTAACGTGACAAGTATGACTACATTTCCGAGTAAGAGAAGGATCAGGGATGGTTTTCTTCTTTCGAATAGGTATAATTTTCTAATTCCCTTTTGCTTTTTTATGAGCTATACCTTTCATTTTAACCATTTCAAACCCTAAAAAATACAATGACCCAACTTCTTCGATTTCCACTAACAAATTTAATGAACTCAACAAAGCCAGAATTTGAAAGACAACAACTATAGTATCCGTCCACTAACCGGATACTATGAATGAATTATTCAGAAAAGGGAAGAAATTTCATGAAATCAATAACAATTGAACTCAGACAACCTTAATTTAAGACCAACTATGAAAACGAGAAAGGAAGGGCAGACGAAGTAAGCCTCAGAAGCAGCATCAGACGAACCAAGTCTTAGACGTAGCAGCACAAACCTTCCCTTGTTCATTATTAAAAATGAAGTAAGGGCTAAATTGACAATTCTAAATAATACATTGACATATCATATTTTTGGGTCCACTATATGCATTATTATAACTTATGCCATATTTATTAGATAATGGCTAAAGTTTTTATACCTATGTAATACAACTGAAATAGGAGTAGTTAAAATTGTTTAACCCCAATTTTTAAGTAACGTGTACACTTCTCCTCCACTTATTCTAAAATGGAGAAAACTGGACACTGTTCAACCTTAGAGAGTTTTGCACCTACATACAATGGCGAGCGAAAAGGACGCAACAGAACCAAAAGAGAAAAGAACCAATAAGACAAAACAGTGTTCTGCCTTAAAATTCAAAGCCATTAGCCAACCTTCCCCATGAAATCATCGTCGAAATACACTCCAGACTATCGGTCAAGTCTCTTTTACAATTTAGGTGTGTTTGCAAATCATGGTGCTCTTTGATTTCCTTTTCACATTTCGTTAAAACCCATCTTAGTATGTCAACTGAAGACAATGAATATAAACACTATATAGTCATTTTGAAGTCATGTTCACATTTACTCTGTATTGTATAAACCATTTGCTAGTGCCTTTGAGCTTGATTCTCCATTGAAGGATCCCCATGACACGGCTTGGCTTGTGGGTTCTTATAATGAGTTGCTCTATATGGCTATTGAAGAAGTTGATCTGTTCATATGGAACCCATATATTAGAAAATTCAAGAGTTTGCCTACTTCGGGCAAGAGAATGCGATGCAGTTGTTTTATGAAATAAGGGTTTGGTTATGATGAATACAAGGTGGAAGAAGTCTTTGGTGGTGTTGGTAGTGTTGGTGGTGTTAGGGTTCCTATAGAACCGAAGTCAAGGTTTATACCTCATTAAAACAAATAAGGGTATTTGTGACGGAAGTTTGCAAAACTATCACCAAAAAAGCCTTTTTGTTACGCTTTCTAAATATTGTCACAAATGACTAATTATTTGTAACAGTTACCATCATTTTTCATAATTAACTAATTATTTGTAATAGTTTTTATTTACCTGTCACAATTGACCAATTATTTGTAACAGCTATTATAATTTGTCACAAATGACTAGTTTTTTATGAAAGTTTATTTTCAATGCACAAATGACTACTTATTTGTAACAGTTTATTTTCATCGGTCACAAATGATTAGTTATTTGTTACAATTTCTTTTTATATGTCACAAATGACTAATTATTTATGACAGTTTTTACTAATATGCATGTCACAAATAATTATTTATTTGTAACAATTTCCATCAATTGTCACAAATAACTTAATTTTTTAATTTAATTTAATTTTTCTAATCTAATTTTTCTAATCTTTGTTGACAATTGAATATAACATTTGTTTGAAAAAAAAAAAAAAAGTAAAATTGTGTGACCGAATTCCGTCACAGAAAATTGCAATGGTGACGGTATGATATCTGTCACCATTTTAAATCACGTGTTGACTCAATCCCTTACTCTGTACCAGCTTAATTCACTCCCTTACGGAGTACTAAGGTCAACTCACTCACTCAATCAGACTCATTCAGATACCAGTTCACTCCTCTCTCTTCCTTCTCGCAATCAGAAACCGTAGAATCCATGGCAGGGGAGGCCTATTGTCACGATCCGATTCCTAACGACGCCATGAGCATAGAAGATACGCATGCTGGTTGGCTAAGAACATTCATTGACTGGGAATGGTTCCAGGGAAGGGGCGTGCAGGACCACAGGATGGTACCTCTTCAGAGTTCAGGCAGGTCGACTCGGTTCAGTTCGAGGTGCTTGTCGCTGGTCGTGGACTTGACTATGAAGAAGGGAGTTGGCCATCCCTGCACAAACTGGTCGGGAGCTGGAGCCGTTCCCCTGACGAGGCCATGGCAGGCCGAAACCAGTCAGCATGTATCCTTGGGAGGGCAGGTCGTGGTGGCTGATCAGGGCGCTTGCGCGAGCTGAAGCAACGCCTTGGTGCTGCACGGGCCGTGCCGCTGCGCCAAATCTCTAGGCCCGTGACAAATGGTATCAGAGCAGGACTTGGGGAAAAGCACAAAGGTGTGCCCCCTTGTCGATCCGGGGGTCTTGAGAATGAAGACGGTGCACTGAAAAAGCGTCGGTGGGTAATCAATGCTGTTGGAGGAGAGCCTCCATCTCCCCATGAAGATGCGTCCTTGAAGGGCCGGAGGGCCGCGCGCATCGGATGGCCGGAGGGCCGCGCGCACCAAAGTTCTTGCAAGTTCAAGAGGCGTGCAAACCGTTGTGAAGGGCGGGTATCAAGTCAGCCGGAGGGCGCTTGTTTGCTCGGGGTGTCGCGGAGGCGGCATAACGTGGGGTTGCGTCCCGAAGAAGTGGGCGTCCCTTTAGCCCGAAACCCTATCATTGGGCGAGTGCAGCCAGGGGTTGTACAAGGAAGCGATGGTGGGCAGGCGAGCATACCACTTGGAGGAGACAGGCTTTGGAATGTTGGACGCAGCGGAGTCAGCGCCGCACTGCGACGAGGGCGTCGCAGGATTTGGGTGGGGGAGAATGTCACGATCCGATTCCTAACGACGCCATGAGCATAGAAGATACGCATGCTGGTTGGCTAAGAACATTCATTGACTGGGAATGGTTCCAGGGAAGGGGCGTGCAGGACCACAGGATGGTACCTCTTCAGAGTTCAGGCAGGTCGACTCGGTTCAGTTCGAGGTGCTTGTCGCTGGTCGTGGACTTGACTATGAAGAAGGGAGTTGGCCATCCCTGCACAAACTGGTCGGGAGCTGGAGCCGTTCCCCTGACGAGGCCATGGCAGGCCGAAACCAGTCAGCATGTATCCTTGGGAGGGCAGGTCGTGGTGGCTGACCAGGGCGCTTGCGCGAGCTGAAGCAACGCCTTGGTGCCGCACGGGCCGTGCCGCTGCGCCAAATCTCTAGGCCCGTGACACTATGCTCTCTTACTTCTTGACATCAAAGACACTAATCTGGTGTGGCGCGACTACATGTCTACTTTTTGATAAATTATAGTCCAAGTTGCGTTCACAAATTTCGATCTCAGATCAGTAAATTGGATCAAGCCTTTTGGTTGCTGATAAAAGGAAGGAAATTGGATCAAGCCTTTTATGGAATTTTTGATCAATTGCACACCAAGAGTAAGTACTGATGCTTGGGTGTAAAAATTCCTCTATAGTCTATGCAATAAAGTTATATATGTACATTGAAAATTTGAATATTTGCTTATTTGATCAATCTATTTAATATTACTCTCTTTCCTGTGTCATGTCATGTCTATAGAGTGAGATACGTTTGAAGGGAAAACTCAAAGACAAGCTTCTAGTAATCTTGTTTGATGAAGATTTAAGGACATGAAGGATTCATGGTATGTTCTTACATGTTCCGACTACATGTCCACAAACTATTGTGCTATATATGTAACTCACATATCTTATAATCTAAGTTCATACAGAGTAAGTTTGGGAAGTGTGGTATATTTATGCAGCATAAGCATAATATTTTATGATGGGGATGTATTATACATTTAGGTACACATTAATGTTGAGGGAAATAAACTAATAAAATGGGGTAAACAAATGAAATAAGATTGATATAAGAAAGAAATTATATAGCACTTGGTTCAGTACTCATTGAAAATGTGTTGCTGCATCATAAGAAGGATAGATATACTGATTCGATAGAATCTAAACACATCCTTGATACAATATTGACCGTCTCACAATAATTCAGTTTTAGTGAATTTCTATATACTGATTTTATCTTTTACGGAATTGATCCCCCTTTGACCCCTTTGACTAACAAGAATATGTAGAGCTTAGAATGTCTGGGAGTATATAAAACCTTTTTTTGATACGAGCATTCGATACTTGGTTATTCATAGCATTACTATATATTCCTTATTTATGGCGGGTTGGTTTATATACAAATTCATTAAGTTCAGTAAGAAGCTCACACAAAATTTAGCTAGAAAATTTTGCTAGGTCAATTGCGCAAAGAGAGAGGGTAACAATAGTGGTCCGCGATGCAGTGTGATGGGATAGAGTATCAACTAAACATGTTTAATCACCTAAACGTTATTGGCCTTGGATAAACTTGTAATTTGAAAAACAAAGAGGGATTAGATTCCAAAAAAAAAGTTAGAAACCACGCAATTTAAAAAGCTCAAATTTTTAGCTTCATCAAAAAGTGTATTTTTAAATTAAATCACTACTCCCTGAAAGCACTTTCTTTCAATACCAAGCACCTCTAAACTTATTTTTTTAAATTGAAGGCACTTTTAAATGCTACAAAAGCAATTCAGGGGCTAATGGCCAAACAAAAAGAAAGAAAAAAAAACTACTCTGAAAACATATACTCCGTACTCCGTTCTAATACTCCTAAATAAATAATTTTGAAACAATCCTATTTTCACTGAAATTTCAAACTTTTGGCGCCACAACTCAGAAATAATAGATCTGTCTTTTGGGAGTTCGAACTTTGGAGCAAAGAGATGAAATCGAAACTTCCTTCGATTAGGGTTTCGGGACAGAGCTCTATTCATTCAACACTCCTCTTTCGCTCCTCGAATCGGTAAATGGAAACCCTAATTTTCAAGCAATCGTTTTACTCCATTGTCAATCGTTTTTTCTTGGTCGATTGACTTCATGTGGGTCATGTTTGTGACCCAAAACAGGTCCGTCGATTGTAAAGAAGATGTGCAATGCAAAGCGCCGAATAAGAACTCACCGGTCTCGCTCTCCGATTTCCTTGACCGAAAGCTGCATAAAAGTTCTGTTCTTCCCAAATCAGTTCAGGTATCCTATATCTACCTCCTGTTTGGTTGACAGAAAATGTAGGAAAATAAAATAAAAGAAAATGAAATTCTTTAATGCTTTTTGTTGTTTTGGTTCGGAATAAATAGCAATTCCTGATGAATTTAACAAATTAATTGTCAGGGAAAGGAGAGGCAATTTTCGTCACCAGTGGGAGGTGGGGATGTAATTGGGTCGATTAAAAGTTCTCTTCTTCCCAAGTCAGTTTAGGTTTTGTATAGCTAACTCCTGTTTGGTTGACAGAAAATGCATGAAAAGAAAAGAAAATGTAATTCTGCAATGTTTTGTCTTGGTTTTGGTTCCGAATAAATAAAAATTCTAGATGAATTTAGCAAATTATTTGCATTAAGTTCACTCAGTGGAGGTTCTAAAGATCAAGCTGCCAAATCGAACATTAGTTGTAACTTGTAATACGTATTTTAGTAAAATCAGTGTGAATTAATATATGTATATATATTGATATAGCTATGACCATGGTGTGATTCTTTGGCAGGGGAAGGAGAGGCCATTTTTGTCACCAGTGGGAGGTGGGGATGTAAGTGGGTCGATTAAAAGTTCTGTTCTTCCCAAATCAGTTCAGGTATTGTATATCTAGCTCCTGTTTGGTTGACAGAAAATGCAAGAAAAGAAAGAAAATGATTCTGCAATGTTTTTCTTTGTTTTGATTCCGAATAAATAGAAATTCTAGATGAATTTAGCAAATTATTTGCACTAAGTTCACTTAGTGGAGGTTCTAAAGATGCTTACATTTTCTAAGCTGCCAAATAGAACATTAGTTGTAACTTGTAATATGTATTTTACTAAAATCAGTGTGAATTAACATATGTATATATATAGATATAGATATGACCAGGGTGTGATTCTTTGGCAGGGGAAGGAGATGCCATTTCTGTCACCAGTGGGAGGTGGGGATGTAAGTGGGTCGATTAAAGTAGAGTTTGGGGCTAAGAAAAGAGGAGAAAAAGAGGAGAATTGTGTTTTTGATGTAGATTTGGAAAAGCTAAGGCATACTGGAAAAGGGAAAGAAGATTGCATTCATTCTTGTGCTACTGTTGGGGGTGGAAGCTCTCACACAGATTATATGGAAAAATCAAGAAAAATTAAAAACCCATTTGAAGGTTTGTGATTACATCTCTATTGGTTAGTGTAAAATGTTCTTACAATCTCATTTTGCTTTTATTTAGTGCTATTTTTTTACTCTATTTTTAGTTGGTGATTCTTTCGTTGTCTGATTTATAAGCCATATGACCCAACTTTTGTTTAGTTTAGCTCAAAAAAATGTTTTGCAATCAGTGAAAATTTTACATTATCAATAGGAACTATCTGTATTACTTATTACTTGCTACATTTTGATTAAATTTTAATCTAGCATCAAATATTCAAGCATTTTACAATTTACGCAGAAATTGTGAAGTACGCTATCGACAGAAGAATGGTATAAGGACTGATACATAGGCTGCTTAGCAATTGGAGTTGGATGAAGAGACCTAAAGTGGAGAACAGAATCCTTCTCCACATGAATTTGAAATAGTTCCCTTCATTTTGTTATTTCGGATTTGCAAATCTTAGGCTCTCTAATATATCCATTTATCTTGTTGAGATCTGTGTTTACAATGTTAAATATAAAAGTAAGCTACACTCTTTAAATCTTTATAACCACATTCATTTCAAATCCATCCCTCCTTGTTTTTCTACTATCTTCTTAAAATACAAAACAGATTCTGATGCAAATGAAAACCAATATTGACTCCCACAGTTCATCTTAGTTTAGAAGTCTCCAATAGAAACATAAGTTCATCTTAGTTTAGAAGTCTCCAATAGAAACATAGAATCTATGAATAGATCATGATAGGAACTTTCTTCTTTTAGTGTTATATCTTATGTGTTCACCTTTTTCCTTCTCTGAATTATTGGATATATATATTTTTTCCTATTTGAAACTCACTCGCCCATTTTCCTCCTATGGGCGCTTGAACCCTCCCCCATTTTACTTTAGAAGGTGAGAACTTGATGATGATCAATGCCATACAGTCCTTGAGATTTTGTGTGACAGGATAAGATGTTACCCTTTGTCATATTTTATCTTTTCATTCATAAAAATAAAAAAAAAAATGACATTTTTCTTATGTGGATTACAAGGTGGTGTTAAGAAACAGTATACTCGAAAGCCTCTGGTAGTTCTTGGGGATGATCCAAAACCCAAACCTATAAGGAAGAAGGAGAGTTTTACTAGCAACAAGAAACCAAGAATTCTCTATAATCATTGTAAGTATAACATAATGCAAGCAGCAAGCCAAAAGCTATCCTTCATGAAATTATTTGTGTTGTATTTGGTTTTTCTAAATTCTTGATCCTTGCATATGCCTGTTACATATCCATCCAAAGAGTAAGAAGTTTCGGTCCTTTGTTGGTTAATAGATGCAAATGGTAGCGGCTGGTGGGACTGCAATATGGAAGGCGTTGACAATGAAGAAGTAGGCTGCAATGAAGTATGGGAAGGGATTGGCACCACTGCGTTGGGCGGACTGGAGTGGCATTAACTTAGCTCATCTTCAGCAACCATACTTAAGTCCTAGGAAAATAGCTTTTCAGCTTCTTCTCTTCATAGCTGTGATCTAAGTTTTTGAAGTAAGCAAAGGAAAATTGATCATGCCTCCAAAAGTCGACGCATTTGATGAATGACCTCGGCATCCTAGATAAGGCCTTCTTGATTTTGTCATGGATAAGTTATGAGAATTTGAACCATGCAACTTGATCCCTCTGTATGTAACTATGTATTTTTATGCATTTGTTGTGGTTGTGTGAAACAAAATTATTAGTTCAATGTCTTCTAGCTTTGTTATCATTTTATGGAGTTAGCTTTATAGCTTATAATAAATACACTGGAGATTTTCCATTAAATATATACTATAAAGAATTTGAAGACCAAAAAACAAAAAAGTACTAAAAGGATAAGTTTCATTGGGCGACTGAAATGCTGAAGCATCAATGGACTTGTGAGGATAAGTTTCCTTTTGTGTGTATTCGAAGTGGACTTTCTCACTCTTCAGAGGACCGTTCTAGTTTGGAGGCTCTTGCCTTTGCTGAGGGTATGCCCTTTGTGCACCTGTAACTTATATATTTCTTTTTAATATAACACCAATTATGAAGAAAAAATAAAAAAGAAGAAAAAAAAGACGATACATGACATTTTTTGGTTAGGCATGTTGCTTCACCTAATTATCCTTAAACATTGCAAGGAGACATTTTTGTACTTTTCATTTAGCTTCAAAGAGGTGGGAGGTGCTCACTTCTTTTGAAATTGCTTCACATAAATACAGATTGAAGCTACTGTATAATCAGCACTTACCAGACCAAAAGGGTTTAGGTTAAGAGGTAAATGCAGAGTACAGTTTTGCATAGTGAGAAGAAGGGGAAAGTGAACACTATAAATTGATGGGGGAAGTGTATGCAATAGTTCAAGTGCAGAGCAGATTCCAAGTCCTTATTGCTAAAATACAAATGCAAACCTAAATATTTTTTTAGGGACAAGATTTTTCTAGTTTTGATTTCTTGTTTAGAATAAATAAATAAATAAATAATGAAAAATTTTAATGTACTATTTCAACTTCGCATCTAGCTATGACATTATTTTATGGAATTGGGACAAGTAAAACAAAAGGATGTGGGGTGAGAGAGGCTCGAACTCTCGACCTCAGGATTTCTCTTCAAGCTATGAGACCTACGCGCTAGCCAACTGCGCCACCACCCCATGTGTCTCAAGGCCAAATTACCTTACTTTATTCTAGTCCAATAGCATTATAGTCATCAAAATGGAAAATAGTAAAGAAAAAGTTTTTAAAAAAAAAATATTGGAAAATCCTTGGAGGCTTGGAGACAAGGGAATTGTAAATAATATTAAACAATATTGGATGATTTATGTAAAGAATTATTTGAGCTTCCCGCCTTGTGGAAGTCGTTTAGTTAATATATTATAATATGATATTCTGAAAGATCTAGAAAATAGTGAATACTGAATCGGTCCTCTTAGCTTAATAATGTCACCAGTGCACCTGTAATTATATTTCATGTTGCCACCAACCAATTATATACTGTTACATAAATAAAAATGTCATTTAATATTTATACAGGGATGATAAAATACTAAAAAGGACAAGGGTAAGTACACCAACACCCTTTAAGGTTTGATATAAGGATAGGTAGATGAAAATTATCCTATTTTTGGACAATCACACCCCCTCGAGTTTGATAAAATGGACAAAGACACCCTGACAATGGTAAATTGACTTTATTACCCTTTGATATAAAATGGACAAATATAATTACTTAAATACCCTTGAATCAAATAAGTTTAAATGGGTTATTGGGTAAAACCCATATATATTGTCTGTATAGACACACGCGCACACATATATCATGATCACCACCACAAATCAGCCCACTGCCGCATCATCATCATCAATTCATCAAGTGACAAGCAAAGGAAAGGAAATCGGAGGATGAAGGCTTGTAACTCTAAATTAGTGCTTATTTTAAGAGAGAGAGTGTGTGTGATATATATCTATAAACCTATATATATACATTTATAAAATTTTAGAGAATTCTAGAGGGAAAAACGTTAGCAGTGGTAGGGGGTGAAGGAGGAGGAGCAGTTAACATTGAGAAGGATTTGGATTCAAAGCTTAGGATTCAGAATGATTTATCCAATGTTGACTAAGTACAGAGTGTTGGGATTTATATGCCCTGGCATAGCAAATTCCTATCTGGATTATAGTGACATATGTTCCTGACATATCTGAAATATTTATGATTTATATAATTAGTGAATTAAATGTATTATGTTTCGATTCATTATGAAATTGATAGTGTCCCTGTGATTACAAGAGATATTTATATCTATGTATGTGATAGCGATTAATACATGAATATAAATAGTAATCATAAATTGTTCATAGTCGGTAATTATGGATGGAATCATAATTAATCAAAACTTGAACTGGATCCGTGTTAGGTTGAGATATATTGCGAGAGTCCCTATCACCGTCATGGCATTTGACTCTTAAGTATGAGAAAAGTATAGACTCTTTTATTAATTAATAATTACTTTGATTTGTTCGGCGAATTCTTCGGAATCCTTAGACCGACACTTTGGGTAGTAATATAATTAATAGTTAGAGGGTTATATTTTCAATATTTGCAACATTACTACTTGTATTTATTTTGTATTGATCATGATTGATCACAAAGAAAATTCGAAGGCCTTCGTGTGTTTTTAGACAAAATGATTTATTATATATTTATTCATTTAAATTATTATTTTTGTCAAATAAATGTTTTATTGTGATCGAGCCAGAAATAATCAAAGGTACCAAAATAAATATATTAATTAAGTAGTCAGATTGATGGCTTTATTTATCCGATAACTAATTATGCATAGAGGGGTCAAAGTGCAATATTGACTCAGAGGTTATTTATTATTTAATTGGAGTTCAATTAATTTCTTTTAGTGAAGTATAAATTAATTTATGAATTAATTGAATTGGGTCCATGGACCGGGCCAATTATTAATTCATTGTAGCCAATAAAATAATAGGCCCAATGGATTCTCACTCATAGCCCAACTTGATATTGGAATCATATTAGATTTGAGACATGTGAATTAGATATTGAGAAGGATTTGTTGTTTCCTTTTCTTTATCTTTTTGTTGCCTATAAATATACATGGTCTATGTATATTTTTTGGGGGGTGATTTTTGGAAGAAAAAAAAAAGGAACCTATTTTCTCTCTCTAGAAAATTAGGGTTTATGTTCTCATCTAATGGAGGCTCCCACAAGCCTAGTTTACCAAGGTCATTCATGGAGGCTTATGAGTGATTCCTAAAGGCAAAACAATTATCAAGAAGATGGAGATTCAAGGAGAAGGCATCTTGCTAAGGAATCTACAATAAGTGAGAACATTCACTTTAGAGGAAAGATTTAAAGGTTTACTCAGACCTTTAATGTAAGTATTCAATTCATTAATTGAATGATACATCACATTTTTATTTTTGCATAAAACTTGTCTCTATGTAATGAATCAAGATCTATGAATCAAAATTCCTCAAAAAGTTTTAAAACTAGCACGTTTCCCAACACAGAGATCTATGAGCTTTGCATTCAGGGCACCACAGGCGAATTTTACCTTCCATGACTATGAATTGGGCAAAGTATATGGGGTAAGTTCTTATTCCAAGGTTAGATTTTATTATTATTTTATTATTATTATTAATATTTCCCTCTCTCTTTCTCTCTCTTGGTCGTCTTATTATTTATATTTTGTATATAGTGATTCTCTTTTGATTTTGATTGTATTAATCTGATTTTTGCTCATTATGGAATAATGGTTTGTTCTGGTTTGATGATTTATTAAGATTGGTTTCTTCTGGTTTGAGAAGATTTACCTTTTAGTATTTGGGGAACTTCGAATCTGTGCAGTGGAGTTTTGAGGTTAAATTAGAATAAATGATAGAGAAGATTTGCCGGTGAAGATGGTGAGCACTCGACGGCCGGTGGTTGGAAGGTGTGGAGGTGGTGCCACGGCCGAAGCTTTCTGGTCTAGCTTGGGAGTGGTGGTGATTGTTGTGTGGTTGCGTGTGTGTGTGGAGTGGTGGTGACTGTTGTGTGGTTGCGCGCGCGCGCGCGCGTGTGTATGTGTGTATATATATATCTATATAGGGAGAGATGAAAAGGGTAATTTGGCCATTTAAGTATTTTGATATTTTATAATTAAAATTAATAAAATAGTGAAGAGTAAAATGGACTTTTCATATATTTTAAGGCTCTGTTTGGATGGCAAATTTCACAAGGGGGTATGATTGTTTAAAAATGGACAAACTTTCATTTAGGTGTCTTTTTGACAAATCTCAAAAGGTGTCTCTGTAAGGACAATAACAAGGACTGCGCAGCTGTAAATTATACTCTTAATGGAACACAATTAAGGAGATATTTGTAATTGTGTGAGTGCTAGAAATAGGCTACATCATTCAATTCTACACTATTATCAAACCAGACTCATCACATAAACTCGATGGGACAGAACAAAGGCATATTTTTTTGTATATATATATTTATTTAGTAAATGTACCAGTATGACCCAAAAGGGCAAAAAATGAGCCCAACAAGTTTGGCAACCAAGAGGAATAAAATCCCAAACAAAGACCAACATGCCCAAACATATAATACATAGCTCAAACAAAGCCCAGGGATATAGGGCCCCAAATATAGGATACAAAACTTTAGAATAGCCATTGTTATCGATAACGAGTTAATAGAGTTGAGTGTGCGTGTGTGTGTGACAGTGTGTGGGTTCATATAAGAACAAACCGTATGTAAAATTATTGGAACCATATATTGTCAAAAGTGAATCAGTTTGCACCAAAGATATCGTTGACTGGAATTTAGAAAATGGACTCGAATCACCTCAAAAGTCAAAATACCTAATTCACAATCAATGCGGAAAATAATATAACAAGTGATAGATTTGCCTTGTAATGGTAAGAAAAAAAGTCTCTTTGAAAATTAAGAAGTGAAAATAGAAGATATAGAAAACACAACAAATTATACTCCAAAATAATACGAGAGTGATACAGAGCCAGATCTAAAATGTCTCCTAATATATGATCCTAGATTCCCCTTCCACTATTCCCCACTAACTATTTACTCAACATTGCAAACACAAAAGAAAATAATAATGATAAAAAAATAATAGACTACGTCTCTTTTTGTATCGGCCAATTAGCCGTCTGTTGGTTCACATTAGGTTGCCCTTACTTATTTATTTATTTATTTATTATTTTCGAAAGGCAAAGCTAATATTAGGTTGCCCTTTTGTTTAGGCGTTATCTGC